GTTGTTAAATATGATGCCTCTCTCATTCATGCCGATGCAGCTGAGTCCTTGCTTGCTCCCAAAACGGGAAGTATAATGTCCATTTTTCAGTACATGGTGCACAGCTGATGCCCTAAAAAAGGTAAAAAAGAAACAAAAAATCGACATTAAATCATTATCCCCTGTTTGTGTATAAACTGTTTTTCCCGCAGCATTAACAGAGGTAACCAACCTGCTGAGTATGAGGGTCTCCTCTCCATTGATCCACACTCTGACAATGTCTCCATACTTTTTGTTGTAGTAGTTACTGGCTGTGCCTATACCAGTCCAGAGGAATCTCACATATGACAGAAATGGACCCAAGCCCAGACAGAAAGAAGGACCTGTGGTGGTGAATCACAACAAATGTCATTCAGTGATGGAGAATTGACACAAACACACAGACAAAAACTGCCAAGTGTCTATAAAGAGAACCTACCAGGTGCAGTGTTCTTGTCCGCGTGGCTCCATGCAGCCAGCAGCAGACAGATGAGCAGGATGAGGGTCCTGGTTGCAACGGAGATCCCCGGTGATCCCACTGCAGTTACATTCGAGGACATAGAGACCAGGTCTTCCACGATGGTGTCGAAACCTACAGGAATCAGGGCCCATTCACAGGCAGGGATCAGATCCATAGGAAGGCAGTAGTAAAACAACCTGCACTAACTGCACAAACCAAACAACCGCCCGGGTAATGACAGATGCCTCCGAAAGCCGGAGCCTGGTGTTTATATGAGGGCTGAGCTGGTTAAGAGCCAGGTCAGGGTGATGCAAAAGCCACAACACGGGAGAGAAATGGTAAACAATACAAGTGTAACCTTGAGGGGTTGGATTGGTGCCGGTGCCCTTGAGCGTGCAGGCCCAAGTTCAGTGGGTGAATGTTGGGGAGTAGACGGTTCATCGGTTGTATTTAACATTCTGGTGATCAGAACAAAGTTTTGGTCCAGCTTTGAACTTCAAAAGAATCTTATTGGAGAAACAACATCTGGCCTGTGTTATTATTATTAAAGCTTTATCTGTCGTCCAAAAAAAAAAGATCTCTTAAAAATCTCTTCAGTTTTTTTTGCATCTTCGAAGACAAACAAGAAACAGCTGGAATTAAATGTTCCAACCAAAAATATGTTTTTAAACATGATATGCTGTGGCCTTTATTATTTGAGATTACTCCCAGTTTTCCTCCAACAGACCACCAGTAGATGGAGAAGCAGAGCTGTGATGCATTAAACAGTGTCTACGGATTTACTGCAACATCATGAGGTTATGAAAACAAAATCATATAGCATGCTTTTAATGAAATAACTTTAACGGAACATAAGTTCTGTAGCAGCTCTTGCATCTCACAAAAGCAACCATTGAAGCCAGAAACTGATGTCTTCTGAATATCTAGGGGTACATTAGTGCACCTGAAATGCAGTTGTGTAGTCTTTCATTTTAGTTTGACATATTAGGGTTTACGGGCAAACTGTTTTACACTCCAGACCATCACATCATCGTATTTGATTATTTTCCAGCCTCAAAAAATGAAGAAACACATAGTTAAAAACGTACTCAACAAACCCTTTTTAAATGACATTGAGTGAAGCTGTTTTATCAATAAAAAACTTGACTTAATGAAATTAATAGGACATTTTACAGACCTGCTCAGATTTAACACCTCAGTATTTAAGTTATTGTTAAGATTCTGACACAAAAACATACTTCTTTATTTATTTATATCTTAGGTATTTATGGGTTCATCAAACCTTTTTTTATGTTTTATGTATATTTGCAGTCCCGTACTCACATCATAACGACAAACAATATGTTTTAAAAGGCAAGACAAAGGGGGAACAAAAAAATCCAAGCGAAAAATCAACAACAATAAAATATTAAATAATAACAGCAATGGGTGCCCAAATACTCCTTCTTCTAAATAAGTATTATGCAAGTGGAAATATTGAATTTTATTTATTTTTGGGTTAAATATAATTGTATTATTATTTTTTAATATTTTGTTTCACAATTTGTGACAAAGCCAATTCTGTTTGGCTCTGCCTTTGTTCCATGTGCTCTGTATAAAGGACTCTGCGAATTCACTCACCGCCCACGGTGGAGTCGAGGAATGTGCACAGTTGAAATGTCCGACTGTGTGTGAGGCCCTGCCTCGATAACGTCCCCTGTATGATGGCTCGGACAGAGATTGTTCTGCATGATTAAGCAAAGACAACCCGGTCTGTTTTTCCCGAAAACAGAAGTTAATGTAACCTTTTCTCTGTGCTCTGTGCTGTGGTCAACCACATCATTGTCTCAACTACATGTGTAGAGAGTTGTTTAGAAGTGAAAAACAAGATTGATTGAAAGCCGAGGGAAAATGTCAGACAATGTATGAGGTCTGGACAGAATTTATGAATTTTCTTTGAGGCATGACGTGCAGCAGAAGTGAGTGGATATGAATTCAGAATTTGCGCTTTATGCTATGAGACCTGCCTAAACTGCCTTCATGACCTCATAATTAAGATTTAAAGCAGTATTGCAAGGTCTGAGAACAGCTAGAAGATGAACTCCACCTCCATCCCTCTCATTGTGTTTCTTAAATTCAGGGCTTTTTTCGATGTCTAATAAATGTAATTTGTTCATTTATAGTGGTGTTTATTGGCTTCATTTGATCATCTTTGATGTGCCATTTTACTGATTTCACATTATTGAATCTAATCTTAATTTTCAGTGATAAGCTGATTCGTAGCATTCCATAACACATTTGAAACTTCAAAGATAGCACTGAAAAAAACAAGAATATTGGACAGAGAGAAGAGGAGAATGGGAGGATACTGTTTGAAGGAAGACACAAAGAAGAGAGATACTGGGAGGCTGCTCTCCCTGCAGCTGCACCTCGGGAGGAAGGCGGAAACAGAGAGAAGGTCAACGAGAGACCTGAGGTGGAGAAGAGTTTGTAGGCATGCTGACATGTTTACACCACAGGGTTCATTTGAATGGATCCTCAAACAGGCTGAGTCATTTAGCAACTTTGCCAACATTACAGTCTTCAAATACTTAATCAGAGATGAGATCCATAGAAGGTGGGCTTTCCCCCGCTTTTTGTTCCCAGTCTCAGTTGGTCAGGCGCAGAGCATTACAAAGTGAAAAAGAGACAACAAAGGAACGACCTCAGTGCTCTTAATACTGTATGAGCGAACACATCTGCACATCTGCCAAAGCAATACAATCTGTCCAACAACTGACTGTCAGTGACCTACAGCCTCAGGAGGAAGCCTACATACCAAACGCCCGGTCAACAGGACCTGAATCTAACCCCAATGTAGCATGTCTACTTCCTGTGTGTGTGTGTGTGTGTGTGTGTGTGTGTGTGTGTGTGTGTGTGTGTGTGTGTGTGTGTGTGTGTGTGTGTGTGTGTGTGTGTGTGTGTGGCCTAGCATTACTATACTTGTGGGGACCTAAATCTGTTTACACAGTCACGTGTGGGGACTGGCTTCCCTTATGGGGACAAATTGGAGGTCCCCATGAGGGGAATCATACATTTTAGGGTGAAGACTTGGTTAGGTTTTGCGATTAGGGTTAGGGTTAGGGTAAGGTTAAGGTTAAGGTTAAGGGTAAGGGTTAGGCATGTGTTGGTTATGGTTAAGGTTAGGATAAGTCTCCAGGAAATGCATGTAAGTCAATGTAATTACCCCTGAAGTGATGTATACATGGTATGTGTGTGTGTGTGTGTGTGTGTGTGTGTGTGTGTGTGTGTGTGTGTGTGTGTGTGTGTGTGTGTGTGTGTGTGTGTGTGTGTATGTGTGTGTGTGTTTGTGTGTGTGTGTGTGTGTGTGATCTATTGCGAAATGACTGAAGGTCTGTAACACGTGTATTTCTAGGCTACTCATACTCGTCGAATGTTATGCTACAGTGTATGGTGCTACCGTGAATTTCAATTGTTGTTTTATCTGTGTATATTGGCTGCATATACACGTGTGTCACTCTACATAAATCGTATTTTTCTCATCACGGATGTGGCTTATAATCCATGTACACTTGTGTTCTGATGTTCATGGCGATTCGGAGTGAGGACAGAAGTTCTATGTGATAGGGAATAGGAGCCGCGCTACGTTTTACAGAAAGAGACTCTCTTCAAATAAATGGAAGAAGAAGTTATTGGACAATTGTGCCGTATGGCGCGTGTGGTCGTTCGAAATGGCTAGATATATAAACGAGAACGTCGAATGAATGATCTTAAAGTCGCTTCCGAACGGAAACAACAGAGATTCTATCAGTCGCATTGTCTTTTCAGCTGTAAAGTGGTGAGGATTTTACAGTAAATTCGGGTCCCCTTTTCAACGGTTCATGTACGTAAGAAGAGACAGGGTGTACCACCAAACCAATGACAGGAGGGTAAACTGACTCCTACATTCACTATGACCAGGCAAAACGACAATAGAGAGCAGTTATTTTTGTTTGCTAAACAAACCTTGTATTCCAGGCTCAAATCAGCCAAGAGACGACGTGTACCTCGTGACGAACCGTAAATCGTGACTGGATGTTACGAGAACGTAGGAACC